AAAAAATATTAACGTCGCTTGGCTTTAAATGTTCAGCCCTTATCTAATTGCTTACTTTAGGTTTACCGTATATCATAATCATCTGCCTGACTACGCCCACTGTGGGGCAAGGGCCTTTCCCATGATCCGCCAATCAACCTGGTCTTGTGCTTTCCCTTGCCACATTGTACCTGCGAACTTTTGATCTCATCAGCCTCCCTAACTTTTTGTCTCCCCTTTATGCGTTTGTCTTCTCTGGGAATCCAGTTAGTTACCCTTAATAACCAGCGGTTATCCTTCCTACATGCTACGTGCCCAGCCCATGTCTATTTCTTGTTCTTGGTTTCAATTATGATGTCTTTAACACCGGTTTGTTCCCTGACCCACTCTGCTCTCTGATAGGTTACAATGATAGGTTACACCTATCATTTTCCTTGCCATCGCTCGCTGCGTCGTCATCTCTTGAAGCTGAACCCTCTTTGTAAGCCTCCAGGTTTCTGCTCTGTAGCCAAGTACTGGCAAGATGCAGCTGTTGTATACCTTCCTCTTGATGGTTAGTGGCAGATTACCATTCATGATTTGAGAATGCTTGCCGAATGTGATCCACCCCTTCCTTATTCTTTTGGTTACTTCACTCTCATGGTTTGGCTTTGCGGTTACTACCTGTTCTATGTAGACATATTCCTAATTAAAATAAAGTTTATAATTATTGTATAAATAATATCACGATTTTAAGAAGATAGTTGCACTCTTCGCACTTTAAGGAATATGTGGCGAAAATTTCATCTTGATCTGGCCATCAGAATTACCAAAAAAATGCCCAAATGGCATCTCGAGGAATGCTCATTTTAAAATGCTCATTTAAAAGGGGCAAAAATACGCTTTTAAAATCGTTTCTTTTACTGATGAGAATTTAGGAGCAGTGGTTATTTTGAGCATGTGGCTTTGGAGAACTACTCATGTGGGAGGCAATGCCAAGCAGCTAGGGAACAATTTCCAAACGACTCAAGCTTTTCTTAAGTTTTTGTCCTCTTCAAAGGAGCACTGACATCAAATTTACTCATGCCAAGATTTTTCGGTGGGCGAGTAGCCATCGACGCCCTAGCAGCGGTTCGTGACCTAAAACATAAATTAAAGATGAATAACTATCACTTTTATTAATTTTAATCACTGGTATTTAACACGATTCAAGACGCATAGCACGCTCGCCATGGATGGATGGATGGATTGATATGGCTGTACTCGTTACATCAGGCGGCGGCTCACCCCACTTAGCCGTAATATTCAGTGAACAAAAACTAGATTTATCTTTTTTCTTTTTTAAATAGTGCAGTTAAGGAATGGCACTTTACAGTGAAAGATTTAATTTTCACTTGTGTCTTGATTGTAACCACCAATCAGATAACAACCTCCTAGTTACTTCTACCTGCTTAAAGTTTATTTTGCCCTCCCTGTCCCTAAACGCGAGTGCTTTGAATAATTCTGCGCCATCATCCTGAACTATAGGTTGGAGCCCTTTACAGAACAATATCAAGTGTGCGGCAGTTTCCTCCTCTCCAACACACTGCATACCGTGTCCACCCCTTGTTATTTTTCTGATAAGTCTTGGTTCACAATACTCCCGTCCTGGCCTCAAACAGAAGAGAACTACCCCGAAAATTATCATAGATCCTTTTCTTGGCAATTTTCTGCTTAAAAGTATGATAGATCTCTAGTGCCGACTTCTTAATCATGCCTATTCTCTGCGTGTCGGTCTCGGTTTCCTTCACTTTCTTCTTAACCAATAATTCTTCTTGGTTTGGCACCCTGCCGTTTTCCAAATATTTACCCGTCAATTTTCTGGTTCGCTTCCTCCATTTTGTATCGACATGTCTCATGTGCAAATTGCTAAAAACCTTCCTAGCCCAATGCTCCTCCCCTATTTTTCTCAATCGCTCCTCAAATTTTATCTTGCTGCTAGCTTCCTTGCCAAGTCCAGAGCCGGCAAGTCCTTCGGCAAGTCCAGGGCCGCCGTAGCTCATGGCCCCTTATTTTGCAAAAAAAAAAAGCAAATTTTTTCACAAAAAATGAAAGCGTAAATTTATTTGTTGAACGATTTTTTTTTTCAGGCTTGTAAACCCCACCTGCAGAGTGGCAATCCGTATTATAACTTCTAGTATGTGGCATTGCGTGCATTTTAGGGTTGGCAGTAATGTATCTGTATTGCATCCTGGTGTTTTGGCACTCGCCGCTCTGTTTTCGAACCATCGACCTATTAGTTGTGAACTGAACACCATATGCACTGGTCTACTGCCTCGACGCTGGATACACAAATGAGAACTTGCTCTGCTCAATATACTGCAGCTCAATTTTAAAAACAAACTACGCTCTTTGGCGTATGAGCGCCCTTCACCACATCGCCCTGCTTTTTTTCAACCCTACTGGCACCGAGATTTGAACCAGCGACCACGCGGTTTAGAGCTCAACACTTCACGGACTCGGCTATTCTGCCATTTTTTTTTTCTTTATTCTCGGCTATTCTGCCAGTGTATGATAAGACGGTGTAAAAGTTGTGTACATTACGCAGGCCAATCTTCAATATTAAATGGTGAATTTATGTGTCCGAGCCTTGGCACACGATCTTTGAAAAAAAAATTGAAAGCCTAAATTGAACTTTTCGGGGTTGCATGGAATGATAACTCAATTTAGGGCAATTTTCAGACAAAATGACGACCTTAAAGCCTTCGGAGAGTTTCTATCTTTCGCTGTTATGACGAGTTTAAATCACTTATATTCGCCATGATTTTGATCAAATATGGCAAGACTTTAGCCTATAGAAAGTTTCAATTTTTCAAGGTTGCGTCGAATGTTGATAAATTATTTTGAGGGCCCTTATGATACAAAATGACGACTTTATAGCCTTTAAAAATTTTTGATTTTTCAAGGTTGCATCGAATGCTGATAAATCATTTTTAGGACCTTTTTCAGACAAAATTACGACTTTATAGCCTTCGGAGAGCCTCTATCTTTTGCCTTTTCGACGTTTTAACACGTTTCAAATCATTTAGAGTTGCCATGATTTTGAGAAAGAATGGCAAGCCTTTGGAAATTTTCGATTTTTCAAGGTTGCGTCCAATGCTGATAAATCAATCTTAGGACCTTTTTCAGACAAAATGACGACTTTATAACCTTCGGAGAGCCTCTATCTTTCGCCTTTACGACGTTTTAACGCGTTTTAAATCATTTAAAGTTGCCATGATTTTTTGAAAAAATGGCAAGACCTTTGGCAAGGCCTTTGGAAATTTTTGATTTTTCAAGGTTGCGTCGAATGCTGATAAATTGTTTTTAGGGTCCTATCGAGACAAATTGACGACTTTTTAGCCTTCGGAGAGCTTCTATATTTCGATTTTTTGACATTTTGACGCGTTTCAAATCATTTATGTTCGGCATGATTTTCAGAAAAAATGGCAACACTATAGCCTTTGGACCAATTGACTTCTGAACCATATGATCAAGCCGTGGCAGTAGCACAGTGGTAAAGTGTTCGTCTCGCAATCGGAATAGCGGTGGCTCGAATCACGCTGAATTAAGATGGACTGAGTGTTCGATTTGCATTAAAATGGAAAGTGTATAGCCTTTGAAAGGTTCCTACTCTGATATTGAATCCATTTTCGGCCTCATTGGTAAGCCTCCGAAAATATTTTTTTAACTTAAAAATGTTTCGTTGAATTAGGATCACACCGATTTCAAGGCGACAGCAATAGAGGCCCAGAGATGTCTTTTTTGTCAGACATGCATTCTGTGGTCAGTGTGTGCAGCAGTAAATATTGAGAGGAACGAAAAAATAATGATCATAATTGGGGCACGAGAACGGAAGGTATTAGTCTTCAAGTTTATTAACCCCAACAAATAGCGAGGGAAAAAAACAAAAGCATTCCCTTTTGTATTTGACCTTCCCGCTGACATGAATAGTAGGGTCCAATCACTTTGCACCTCTTACAGAGACACGCTGGAAGTTTCGTCTCGTGCTAGTCATTGTGCAATCCACCTAGAATTGTTCTGAATCTTTTTTTATTGCGATAGCAATTATATGAACCATCTTGACTGGTTTTTTCCGCCACCACCGTCGTCATATATATATATATATATATATATTATAACTCAAGAAAAAAAAGCCACCTGCGCTCGGCACCTAGCTCGTCGCGATGCGCCAACGCGCGCTTATTCTTTGACGGGAAGAATAGAATCGTGTGCCCTGGCCTTTCACCGGAATGATTGCGTTAGTTGCCTGGGCCACAAAGGTCAACTTCGCTCGCAGAGCAGGCCCCGTTTGCGAAAAGAGCACGCTTTTCAAACACAGCGAAGTAACAACAGGGACACTCGTAAGTTCGTACTCATATCTGTAGCTTTATGTTTCCTGTGTCATTTTTGTTTAAACAGCACCTCATGCGTCGAGCCGTAAACGTTGTTAGCTCTCGTCCTGTGTGTGTTGTTTTCGTGCGTCATTTGTGCGCGAGTATCGCGCTGCGCGTTTTAGTCTGCTAGCTGTTCTCAGCGTTACATTCGGAGTTGTTGCTATCGCATTCATTGCTTTGCCCTTGCGGTGAAACTGACTTCTTTACAGAGAAAGCTGCTACGAGAACACCACAAGGGTTGTTTTCGGTGCTGCAGTTGCCCACCGCCGACACCTGTGTCCATAATCACTATCGTGCAAATGAAAAAAAAAAAGTTGTATAACTAAGAAGTGCCGAGGAAACGATGAGATTCGAGCCCAGGTCTCTCAGCGAACCAGCCTAGTGTTCTAGGTGCTTGAAACTCTGTTGCAAGCTGACTCTTGGCAGGCCTTGTATCTGACAAGGAATCTTGTTAATATCTGTAATAAAGCATTTTAGAACAGCAAAGAGGCATCGCATAGTGCAAATTTATTACTCACCCGGATTCATCCAGACTCAAAGTCTCAATCTGAGCCTGAGTGACTCAGAGTTGACTCGTGAGCGAATTTGTCGACCTGTAACACCTCCTCCTGTCATTGGAGCAGGAAGTCTTCGAAATTCAACCTTTATTCTTCAAAATAACAACCTTTATTGAAGGCTTTAATAAATACAATGATTTCTCTTCAATAAATTACTTTAGTGAACACCTTGTTTTATGCGAGATGACATTATTCACGGGCATCTGGAAACGATTGTGAGACGGCACGATTAAATGCGCTATGGGGCCCGGCCCCGTGATGATACTTTTTCTCTCCCGAAAATAACTTGTTATTTACAACATTTATTAGGTCAGGTTCTTCTTCAATAAATTTCTCTCATTTAAAACACTTCGCTACATGAGATGATGATAGATCTTTTTTTAAACATTTGGTGGCGACACCATGAAAACATTTGAACAACAACCACATTTCACACACAGAAACACACATATTTTAGTTTTTTTTGCTGTTACTTAAAACACGCAGTGTGCGGCAGTTCCTCTTTAAGTTCCCTATTTTCTATACAACAGTTGGTCCTGAAAGTCTTTCTTTCCAAGATGGCGGCGTTTGGTGACGGACGTCTGGTCAGGACTAGAGCCGACTCTGTTCGCTTTTTTTGTGTTTTCACTTTTTCCGTGTGAGTTTCTTCAGCGATTGCACCAAGACGATGCTGCAATGAAAAGCACATGTTTCAATTGAAATTTTTGTAAAACAAGCAAAAAGCTATAACACGCGGCTCACTCTACATACAGGGAGGCGAAACTGCATTGGCAAATGAAGTAGAGTTGTTGTTCTAGATACTCAAACCTCAATATAACGAATATGAATATAATGAATATAACGAAAAAGAATAAATGAAAAAATAGTCTTGATATAAATACAGTGTTAGGTACAACTCTTATAACAAATTTTTGAATATAACAAACTTATTTTCTTGTAAGATGAAACTTTGTTATAACGTGGTTGGAGTGTACATATTTTACCACAGTGTTTCCGTGACTTTGGTGTTCAGCTGTTGACACATGATAAATTCGCGGGTTCTGCTTCAGAAAGGCTCATTGTTCAGCTGCCTGTTCTTAACTTGACTTCCTACTTCAAACAACGTTTCCCCCTATGGTGACCACCATTTTACCATGCCACGTGTGACGTCCCGTGCTGCATGCAGTGGAGCCATCATCTTCCAACAAAGCTTTCAGCCGCTACAAATTGTACAATTTGAGTGCCAGTCTGAACAAAACTAAAACATCTCGAAAAAATGTGCACCTGACCCTGAACAATATGATTTGCTAGAATGCAGACGCTTGCACGGCAAGCCACTTGTTATGTGGCTCACGACTATGTTGATGTTGCCCGACACTCAGGTTGCTCACACGTTTATAACAATATTCAAATACAAACTAAGTGCTTGACCAAATGCACTAAATGTTTGCTACGTGGTGTGTGAATGCACAACGATTAACATACATAGTGTGGATTATGATGAAAAATGTTTCACGGCACCTTTAAAAAAAGAAAAAGATGTATCTGGGTGGGTCATAAGAAGGACAATAACTAAAGGTCAATTGGAAAAACCAAATAGCTACTAAAAGATGGCAAGTGGCATTGAGGCGAACAAGCGAAAAGTGTTAGGTTGAGTGATGAAGTTAAGAAACTTGTACGCATAAAATAGCAGCAACTATTACAGGACCAGGTTCGTTGGAGATTATTAGGAGAAGCATTTGCCTTGTAGTAGACACACGACAGGCTGACGACAACGATGATGAAATACGGTTGACGTCCGTTTTTCCGGACTCTCAAGGGACCGCAAAAACGTCCGCAAAAATGAATGCATGCGAAACACATTTTTTTGAAAGGTACTTTTCACTGACGGAGAGTGTCACGCCACAAGTACAGGATTATCACTGCAATTCAGCGAATGCATCGTTTAGGTGGCTCAAAAAAGAGTTGTTTATATAGTTATGTTTTTATATCTATAGTATACTTCATTGTTAAATTTTATATATATATATATATATATATATATATATATATATATATATATATATATATATATATATATATGCGACGTATAAAGCGATACGAAGAAAAAAAATGAAAAAAAAAGTCTTATGTGGCCAGCGCTACTACATTAGTAAACACTTTGGCATGAAAAAAATGTCACTTATTTTCGTTAGCACACCATTCCGCTTGCCCGCAACGATGTCTGCCTCCATTTCAGCTAATGTCATGCTGTTGCTGTGCATCCATGACTGTGTCAGTGCTCGTCTCAACTCCGAGCTCGTTGGCTATGTAGGCTCTGCCTCTTTGATCTCGGTGAAGGGGTCATCAGAATCCTACGTAACTTGACGAATGATTTCTTCATCGGTCAATTCCGCGCACAGCTCAAAGTCTTTCTCAGCATCGGCAAAGTCCTCAAAAGTTATCCCGGCTGGAATCAAAACACCGGCAGCATGCAGATCTTTGAAGAAAACATCAGCGAGCGGAAGTTTGCCGCACATGCTGTCCACTCTGGGCAAGACAGCTGTCTTAGTGTCCAATATGAAGCTGGTGTGGCGAAAATAGTTCCGAAGGCTCTGTTGTGTAACCGTCTTTTACGAGGCTGAGAACATGCTGACGGCAAAATTTTAGGTCAACAGAGTAGCTTTTCCCACTGTCGGCGCATAGCATCATGTGTGCAAGTGTGGCCACATGTTTGACTATGCAATGGCTGCCAACGAATTAGTGGTCGCTAGATTGTGGCATTTGTTTTGAGGGTACAACATGAAAAATGAATATCATAAAACCATTATCACAGTGCATGCAATGAAAATGAAGTTGCCTTTTCATCTCGTTGACAGCACGTGCTATGAGAATGGTTTTATGATGTTCATTTTTCATTTATCTTCGACTATCACTTTTGTTTCTTCTTTTTTTATTCCACTGCATAGGTATATATACATGGTTTGAAGAATAAAGTTTTTGTTGTAAGTCAGTGCTCTGTATGTGTCCTTCTCCGTCTAGTTTCTCATTTTTCGAGCTGTTCTTTTTCAATACACTGCATGGCAATAAAATAAAAGCCAAGGCTCAATAACATGAAAGCCCGCCATGTGTGGACAACTAGCATCGAGAAACACAAGTATCACAAGTACAGTCTTGATCAGTTTCGTGTGGGACCACTCTTCGTTGATGACGGGCATACTCATAAGCGATAATTTAGTAGTAAAGTCTCAAGATGACTATACCTGTCAGTGGTAGTGAAGAGGTTAAAGCAGTCATAGAGTGAACGAAAGCTGGGATGCCACAATAGGTGTCTATGGATAGCTCACCTCATGCCGCGAGTATCTTGCGGAGTATGAGCATCTGGGGGTAGTGAAGGTTGGCATCATAGATGTCTGGTCTTTCCTGCTGATACTGAAATAAAACAAAAATTAAACTTGATTGAAATGAACATATTCATCTAAAGGCTCAGGGCAGAGAGTTGAGTTTCTGCCGCGGCAGCAGCGTACGACGTCTGAAAGACCGAAACATCTTGACATGTTGACTGTTTCACGCTTACAAAAACATGAAAAACAAGGATGAAGCGAGGAATTGACAAACACTAGGCTAACAACGGAAATTTTTCGATACAGTCGCTCCTAGATAAATCGAACTCGAAGAGGATCTTCAGTATATCGATAATTCAAAAATACAAGATACGTGCATTTAATGCCTAAATTGAAGCATTTCAGACCTCAGAAATCGTTACAACCACTACCATAATTATTCGCTCAAAGTGTGAAGAAGAACAAGGTGCTAACTCCAAGTTACCACATTTTTATTTAGTGTGTAAGCAGCCCTGTCACGGACGGCCAATTTTGGCGGCCCCGCGCCACGGCAATTAACGGGCGCCGTACTTCCCCACTGACCGTGGGAACGACGGGCGCATAAAAGAGAGCCGAGAAGTGCAGAATGGGGTGCTCTTCTTGGAACATCGCCGCCGACGTTTGATCCTTTTGTAACTGCGGGGGCGTCTACAAGGTCGTGGAAGCCCGCGATGTATCCCGAACAAGGATTAGACTTCGAGACGCACCGGCTGAGAGCCAAACAGTCCGACCGTTTCCCACGGAGGAAACCGTGGGAAAACCTCTGGTGGCCAAGCCATATGACAACACCCTAACAGGTTGTCACTCTCGCTAGTTGAGGGCCCTCTCCTAATTAAAAAGGAGGATGGTCAATATATTTTTGGAGCGGAGTTTCTATCAATGAAACACGCATGATTGGACCCATGTAGAGGTCTCTTGTCTCCAAGGAAAAGAGCGAGGAGACACGAGGGGGATTTAAGCGCAGGATTTTGCCCTGCTAGGCAGACTAGTCGCTGACCAACATGGTGTAAAAACAGATCAACAAGCATCTCTTATAGAAGTTTTTAGTGTGGCTCTGTATCGGCTGGCCACCTAAACTTAGCCGTTCGTCTAGTTGTGATGCGATATTAACGTCTGCAACGTAGACATCGGGACTTCGCCTCGAGTTAGCTCAACCTGCTCGAAGGCACCTGCAAGCACTAGCCTCCCGGAGCCACCAGCGTTGCAACACTGCCGACATCGCAGTCGTGCCAGAACTCTCTTCGACTTCTCGCATCCGATCATCGGGGACACAACGCTGCCGGTCATTACACGTACGCCTTCACCTGTTTATATCTTCAAACTTTCTCCTCCGTAGTTCTATTGTTGTTAGTTTGTGTAGTTTGTAATAGTTCTCTCTCGTAAGCTGATTTATTGTTCTTTTATGTATTTTTTAGTTGTGTCAAGTATTGATGTATTTTGTTAGTTGTATTGAAGTATTGTATTGGATCCCGTATGCTGCAATATCACTAGAGTAAAGTTTGTTTTGTTTTCTCACGTCTCTGATCTCTTCACTGTCTCTGCTTGCGTACAGATCGAACTAACCTGCTGTCATTCCCGTCGCCGACTTCGCGCTGGCGACGCTAGAGTGGCAGCTTGTAACAAAACTGGCGTACACAACAGGAACGTTCCGTACAAGAGTAAGACAGTGAGGGGTGAACGAGAACCGTGCGGACAGCGTGGTGATAGAGCCGCACAGTTGATGCGGTTGCATCCTGCATATGATTGCGCTGGTTTTATAGTGGCATTATAGTGACAGTTGCAGTATAAAGTGTATGGATTTTGATAAGTGGATCGTGCACGGTAAACAGTTAGGCCTCGAGGGCGCTGAACTGAGACAATGGGTTAAGGAGCAGCAGGAACAGGCGCAGGCGTTAGCCAGAGAAGAGCGGGCACTGGCCCGGGAGGGAAAAGAAAAAAGAAAGGGAGAGAGAACGCGAAGAAAAGGAGAGAGAATGCAAAGAAAAGGAGAGAGAGCGCGAAGAAAGGGAGAAAGAACAAGAAGCGGCAAGGGAAGCCGGAGAACGGGAAGTGCAGTTACTGCAATTAAAGATTCGCCTCAGTGAGAGTAGCAGGTTGAGCCGATCCAGCAGTGAACACGATGCCGGGGGGGAGCCGAGTTTGAGAATACACACAGGTAGACTGCTCGTCACCTTTGACGAAGGAAGGGACGACTTATATGCGTTTATACACCGGTTTGAGAGCATCGCCAGAGGGCAGAAGTGGCCTGAAAGCCAATGGGCGACGGCGCTTTCGACATGTCTTACAGGAGAGGCGCTAAGTGTTTATGGCAGGCTACCACCTACAGATGCAGCGGACTACACCAAGGTCAAAACCGCCCTCCTGAAGCGCTTTCGCTTCATGGCGGATGGGTTCCGAGACAAGTTTAATAAGGAGAGGACAGTAGGGGGTGAAACAGCAACACAGTACGCGGCTCGCTCAAGACATTACTTCGATAGATGGGTTGAGCTGTCCAAAACAGACAGAATTCCAGTCCCTCCACGCATTGTTGATTAGAGAGAGGTTTTTGCATGAATATGGTTCGAACCTGGCATTATATTTGAAAGAAAGGAGGGCGAAATCCCTGGGAGACATGCTAGAGCTGGCAGACCAGTTTTTGGAAGCTGAGGGTGGAGCAAGCCTAGCGAAAACAAAGAAAGGTAGTCACATAACGGACGAGAAGGGGAAATACGAGAAAGGAGGCAACAGCCACGCACCACTACCACTATACTACTACTACTACGCACTACTACTATATTTGCAATCGTGGGAATCACCCGCCGCACTTGTGTCGCAACAGACCTGCCGCTAATGTAGCCATCGTCTGCTTCAAGTGTGGGAAAAAAGGACATAGGGCAAACGACTGCCGGTCAGGAGCAAATAATTCACTCCAGGCGTCCTGCCTCTACGCACCAAGGGAAACGCGTGAGGATCCCATACGCGACGGGTATATCGAGCTTAGGAATGGCGAAAAAGTCCCCGTCGTCAACGCCGTAAGGGTGACACCGCCGAAAAATCTGGCCGAGAACCTACCAGTGGCCACAGGGACCCTCCGAGGCACAGACATATCAGTGTTGCGGGATACGGGGTGCAACACCGTAATCGTGCGGAGGAAGTTGGTGAAGGAAGACGAGCTGACAGGTACAAGCAGACTCGTCTACTTGGTTGACGGAACAGCGAGGATGCTGCCTGAAGCACGGATTGAGGTTGACACCCCCTACTTTACTGGCAATCTGACAGCACTATGCCTGCAAGATCCCCTGTATGACCTCATTCTGGGCAATATCGATGGCGTAAGACCTCCTAATGATCCCAGAAAGGAGACTGAAAAACCTGTCTCGACAAAGGAGTTAAGGGAAGAGCCTGTAGCAGCAGCTATCACCCGTTCCCAAGCACATGCACAGCTGGAAAACCGATACATTTTGACTTTAATGGATCATGCCACCCGGTATCCAGACGCAGTGACGCTCCCGAGTATCGAAACTGAGCGAGTGGCCAAAGCCCTGGTCGAGATGTTCTCCCGATTTGGCGTCCCCCGCGAGGTACTGAGCGACCGGGGCATGAACTTCACATCGGACCTGATCAAGGAAGTAGCGCGGCTCCTTTCCGTGCGCCAGCTCCACACCCCCCCATATCACCCCATGGCGAATGGCTTGGTGGAAAAATTCAACGGCACCTTAAAATTATGTTGAAGCCATGTGCGCCGAAAACCGAGAGA